CGGTCCTTCGGTCGGGAAGCTCCGCGCTGGGTTTAGGGCGGCGGGAGACTGGATTTGCGAGGCGCGAGCGAGGGGAAGGGCCTAGGCAGGGTCTCTCCAGAACCAGTGCTCCCGCTTTCACATGAAAAAGAAATTCCAGGCGCAGCGCGCCTCCGGGGAATAACGTGATACTCAGAGGAGAAACCGTACGTCCTCGGATCCGGCCCTGTCCCCGGCGGGGGTCCTCCGAGGCGCTTTTGGATCTCCGGGTGGAAACTGGGGGACCAGAGTAATATTACAAATGAGAAGCGGGGAAGGAAGGGGGTGTGCGCTTGGATTCGTGCGAATTCCTTGGAGCGGGGCTGTAGCTGGGGGAAGGACCCGCGCGTCCTCCCCGCGCAAGTTCGCGGTGGGAAGGGCCGGCCAGGCCTCAGGCCTCTCCGGAGCGCCTGGACTTGACGCAAACGAAGTTTGACAACTTCTTTACTTGGAGAGGTCGCGCCCGCCCAGCCAAGCGTGGCCTCCTCCGCTCGGACACTCGAGCCGTCCCCGGAACGCCCCAGCCCCTTCATTCCTCTCCATGCCGCTAGGTTTTTATTTTGCTTTTGATCTCCTGTAGGGAACTACAAGAACCACAAGCTGACCCACAGCGGCGAGAAGCAGTACAAATGCACCATCTGCAACAAGGCCTTCCACCAGGTCTACAACCTGACATTCCACATGCACACTCACAACGACAAGAAGCCTTTCACGTGCGCCACCTGCGGCAAAGGCTTTTGCAGAAACTTTGATTTAAAGAAACACGTGCGCAAGCTGCACGACAGCGCGGGCCCCGCCGCTCCCTCTGCAAAGGACCTGAGCAGGACGGTGCCGAGCTGAGAGCTACTGCTTTGTCCTCTTCCTGCCCTCCGCCGCCCCAACACAGATCTCACGTATAAACTTATTTCTAAAATTAAAAGGAAAACAAACTATAGCAGAGAGGCTAAAATCTATTTATCGAAACCAGCATATTTTTGGAAAGTTAAACGTTTCCTCGATGACTGGCAACCAGTGCGTGGCTCCCACCTTTGTATATTCGGGAAATTTATTTAAATTCAGTGCGTCGAATCGTATTTAATTCCAGGCCTCGGCTTCGCCTCGAACAGCCGCTTTCTGACCCCAGCCTGTCACCGCGAGCGCCCCAGGAGAGCCCGGCGCCCTCAGCCATCTCTGTACAGCCCTGTAACTCCTGTGCAGGCCGACACGGAATACACACACATGTGACTCAATAAACAATCCCTGGTGCGCGTCTTCTTCCCCCACCCGCGCCTCGCTTCCCCCTTCCCTCTTCCCCTTCCCTTCCCTTCCCGCCCCGGATCCTGACTCCGGCCCCTTTCCGGGCGGTGGGCTAGCGCGAGGCCGGCCGCTGTTTCTGGGCGCTTGCGGGTGAAGGGTGAGCGAGAGGCGAGGCCGCCGGCCTCCGCGGGGCCTCGTTTTTTTTCTGGTGCTGGTTCAGACGCTTGGGACGCTGGGTGTTGCCTTGGGTGAGACAGCACTTTTAAGGGCTAACAGCCGTAAGTTGGGGTGCGCTCTGGAGCAAGGGGGAGCCAGGGCCTCGGGGTGGGCCTGGCCAGTCCTTTCCTTTGGGCTGTTAGGGGGCGAGCAGCTCCTGCGGCTTCCCGCGCCCGCCTCGTTTTTTTTCTGGTGCTGGTTCAGACGCTTGGGACGCTGGGTGTTGCCTTGGGTGAGACAGCACTTTTAAGGGCTAACAGCCGTAAGTTGGGGTGCGCTCTGGAGCAAGGGGGAGCCAGGGCCTCGGGGTGGGCCTGGCCAGTCCTTTCCTTTGGGCTGTTAGGGGGCGAGCAGCTCCTGCGGCTTCCCGCGCCCCCG